CATTCATGAACAGAGTTGAAGTTAAAGTAAAGATTCCTGAAGAGCTAAAACCTTGGCTTGTTGATGACTGGGACTTAATTACCAGGCAAAAACAGGTAACTTAAAACCTACACAGATTGTAAGTTGTATGCATATGTCCTTGGCTAGGGGAAAAAAAAGAAAGGAAAGTATTACATAGAACTGAATTTTTAAGATGTGATTCATTTAATTCAGAAACTGAACAATTATCAGAATAACTTAGGAATAAAAGTACACATAAGTTTCATGTGTTTGTAGTGAGAAAGTAACTCATTTTGGGAGGTTGCTAGAGTAGAAACTTGCTTTGAAAATTGACAAAAAGGCAAGGAAGTATATGTTTACTGTCTTACCCCTGAAAATAGAACATTCTCATATGCTTCTTCTAATGGAATGCAGTAGAAAGCACACCTCACCACTTGCAGAGGTATTTATAGTCCCCCAAAGAACCTGAATGGTATTTTTTAGGCCTATTATAGTTTATAAGAGTGAAGAATGTTTACTAGAGCAGCACATTTATCAGTCATTAAAATCCTTAATGAGAAGTTCTTTAGGACAAGAGAATCAATTTCTCTGTATTAGCAAGTGGCATAGGTAGGATTGGGGATCATGGGGAAGAAGAGTAGGATTAGAAGACTTAAGAGACCTATCAGTCACATATAATGTGTGGCTATCATTTGAATTCTAAACTAAACTTCAATTTAGTGTTTTCAAGCCATGGTACTGGCTGGGTATGGTGGCTCAAACTTTTAATCTCAGCACTGTGGGAGGCTAAAGTGAAGGAGGATCTCTTGAGGCCAGGAGTTTTAAGACCACCTAGGAGCAATATAGTAAGAACTCTGGCTCTACAAAATAGAGAAACAACAGCTATAGTATATAGCTACTCAGAAGGCTGAGGCAGGAGGATCATGCGAGCCCAGGAGTTTAAGACTGCAGTGAGCTATGATGGCACTGTGATTCTACCACGTAGTATCTGTGCATTTGGACAAGTTTATCAGTCTTTTTGTATTTTAGTTTTCATGTTTACTGGAATAACACTCCCTATGTCATTGTGTTGTGAAGATAAAAAGATAATTGTTAATGCTTGAGGCTAAGTCTAGTATGTAATATCCATAACAGTAAGTGATAACTTGATAATACCACGAAAGTACACTCACGTGTGGTATGTTCTGCACTTGTTTGTGTGTTAGATTGCTTTCTAGTATGGTAGCCAGCCACTAGCCGCTTTCAGCTATTAAGTAAATATACAGATGATCCTGATAAAACCCAGCAGGAAGTTGAAAAATAAAGTTAAGCCATTACAAGTTGGGGGCCATCTATAATTAAATTTTTAGTCCCTCAGTCACATTATCCATGTTTCAAGTGCCTTTTCTGTTTTGTAATACTATTGCCTGATCTTTTTTTACATAAAAAGCCTTTTCTGGTGCAATTTTTCTTTAAGAAAGGAAATACTTGAAATATTTAAGTGAGTTTTTGTTTTCATAGCTCTTTTATCTTCCTGCTAAGAAGAATGTGGATTCCATTCTGGAGGATTATGCAAATTATAAGAAATCTCGTGGAAACACAGACAATAAGTAAGAATATGTACCTTTCAAGTATACCCAAAGACATTTAAAAAAATTTATAAATAAACCGTCTGAAACTTGGACTTAACTCTGAATATTAATGTCATCAGAAACTGGCAAAACCCCTAAGGGCTTTAATTTGGCAAGTACTGCACAAGCACATTTTAAAAATTGGTTTCATGTACTCTTATTAAAACCATTTTAAGAAAATAACCATGCTGTGCTATCACTAGTTTAACTTTTTACCCTTTCCTTGGTTGAATTTTTTCCTATGTTAGTTGTTTTTGGTGACTCGTTTTGAAAGTAAATACTTTTGTTCACTTATACAGGGAGTATGCTGTTAATGAAGTTGTGGCAGGGATAAAGGAATACTTCAATGTAATGCTGGGCACTCAGCTCCTGTACAAATTTGAGAGACCGCAGTATGCTGAAATTCTTGCAGATCACCCTGATGCACCCATGTCCCAAGTATACGGAGCACCACATCTACTGAGATTATTTGGTAATACACCATTTATAAAACATGAACTTCGTGCTTGTTTTGTTTTCCTGAATGAGCAAGAACTAATGGACTTTCTAAAACATGACTCCTTCTATATAAAATGTTAAATACAGCAAAATCTTTTCAAGGGTGAAGCTTTTTAGAGCCATGCATTTTAAAAGAATTGGCGATGAGCTGTGCTTGGTCACATAGTTAAAATAAATATATGATTGTAGTGCTGCCTTGGATGTAACTTTGGCTAAATTCTTTTCCTTTAAATAGTACGAATTGGAGCGATGTTGGCCTATACACCTTTGGATGAGAAGAGCCTTGCTTTATTACTGAACTATCTTCATGATTTCCTAAAGTAAGTCTAAGAGTTCTTGAAATTAAAACAGGAATCTGAGAATTACTATTTGATAGGAAAGATTAACACCAAAGATGGTAAAGCATAATAAAATAAACAAGAGAATGTATTGGTATAGGAGTAGATGGATAGTTAATGCAACAGTATAAATAAGCGCAAATAGGTAGTATGTGGGAGACTGCTAAATGATAGAGATGGCCTGTGGGTGTAATAGGGGACAGTGGTGGAGTACTTAGAACATTGGTAAGGAGAAAACTGACAATTTGGTTTTTGTTTTTGTTTTTGTTTTTTTGAGACCGTCTTACTATGTTGCCCTTGGTAGAGTGCTGTGGCGTCACAGCTCATAGCAACCTCAAACTCTTGGGCTCAAACAGTTTTCTTGCCTCACCCTCCCAAGTAGCTAGGACTACAGGCACCTGCCACAACACCAGGCTATTTTTTTTGTTGTTGTGGTGGTAGTTGTTTAGCTGGCTCGGGCTGGGTTGAAACCTGCCACCCTCGGTATATGTGGCTGTGCTATGGATGCTGAGCTGAAAACTGACAATTTGGAAGAAAACAAAGTTAAATCCAGATTTACTGTTTGCCACCAAAATTCTAGAGGAATGTAGACTTTAAATCTAAAATTAAAACTAATAAAGATTATAATGTTTTTATAGTGTTTGCATGTATGATAAAGGGCTAGTGGGTTTAATACATGATTGAATAAGAGATGAACAAACAAGTGGTAAGCAGGACATGACAAATTTATAGAAATGGCAGTGCAAAAGACCATTAAAAATATAATAGTGAATTTTTAACAGCCAAGCAATTAATTAAAACAATGAGGTTGCTATAAATAGACTGAAGATAGTGAATCAAGTAGATGATAGGGTAAAAATGATTGTGTTGTGTCCATTGAGGGGGAAAACCAAGCTGTAGTAGAGGAATATAGTATAATTCCCCTCATTTGTAGAGGTGTTTATTTCAATCTTTGGGAAAGATACCCTTTTCCAGAGTATGGATCATAATTAACATTGGATTATTTCTTGGGCTTGGCATTTGAAGCTTTGGGTTCCTACTTTGACCATATATTTTATGATAAATTTAAAACTGCAATGTGGGCCTGAATAGCTTGCTTTACCAATGATAAATATCTTATGTGGATCTTAATTTCTTTGTAAAATAAAAGTGCTTTAGTACTTAATATTTCAGGTCGCTTTAGTATGATTTTCAAAACACTAAAGGAGGTATCTAGGTGTTATTCAGGCGCTCTAGTTGATATTTTTTTGATATAAAACCATCCTTTGCTATTCGTAAAATAATAATTGTAATTCCAGACTTCGTTCTTTTATGCATAGTGTTATCTAATATATGACCTTATTACCTGAACTGTAGTGATTTAGTTTTACTGTGAGGTAGCAGTTATTAAATGTATTTTAGGAAAAGTGTTTTCTGTGGCTTAGGTATATAATATGTAGGAAGAAATTAGAATGCAGATGATACTTTTAAAAATCTTGGTAATGAGTAACTTTATTGTTATTACTATTTTTTAGGTATCTGGCAAAGAATTCTGCAACCTTGTTTAGTGCCAGCGATTACGAAGTGGCTCCTCCTGAGTACCATCGGAAAGCTGTGTGAGAGATGGTCTCACCCCATATATGTTTGGATCTCTGTAAACACATTTTTGTTCTTAGTCTTTCTCTTGTACAAACAATGTACTTTGAAGATGTTAGTGTATAACAGGATTGATGTTTGTTTTCTTTTTGATTTTAAACAGAGTAAATAAAAGGGGTTCTAGCTCCTTTTTTCTTTTCTTTTTTTCATTTCAAAGTTGCTACCAGTGTATTCAGTGATGGACAACAGAAAGACATGCTGTAGAGTGTTTTATTGCCTAGTTGACAAAGCTGCTTTTGAATGCTGGTGGTTCTATTCCTTTGACACTACGCACTTTTATAATATGTGTTAATGCTATATGACAAAATGCTCTGATTCCTAGTGCCAAAGGTTCAATTCAGTGTATATAACTGAACACACTCATCCATTTGTGCTCCTTCTTTTTTTTTTTTTATGGTGCTTAAAGAGCTCATCCTTTGCAAGTCATCCATGTTGTTCCTTAGGCATTTTATCTTTGCTCAAATTGTTGAAGAATGGTGGCTTGTTTCATGGTTTTTGTATTTGTGTCTAATGCACGTTTTAACATGATAGACGCAATGCATTGTGTGGCTAGTTTTCTGGAAAAGTTGATCTTTTAGGAATTGTTTTTCAGATCTTCAATAAATTTTTTCTTTAAATTTCAAAAGAGCAGTGTCCTTGTGTAGATACATTACAAAAACCATTGTAGATTGTGTGTCCTTCTTAGATTGAGGCAGTGACTTTTCAGGTGGGTGTTGAATTTTAGTTTGTCCTTTATGAAATAAGGTGCTTAGCTTTAGCACCAGCCCCCTAATCCATGGAGACGGCTACAGCTTGCTCTCTTGAGTCCTAAAAGTTCACATGACTTTTGTTCTCTTTTCCCCAGACTTTTTAATTTTGAGTATTAATAGCATTTTTTACCTGTGTGACAGCTTCCTATCAAGTGTTTGTGTTCAACTTAGAAATGTAACCTTAAACATGAGAGTAGGGTGGTGCCTGTGGCTCAAGTGAGTAGGGTGCTCTCCTCATATACCAAGGGTGGCAGTTTCTTACCCAGCCCCGGCCAAATTGCAACAACAACAAAAAATAGCCAGGCATTGTGGTGGGCGCCCGTAGTCCCAGCTACTTGGGAGGCTGAGGCAAGAGGGTCACCTAAACTCAAGAGCTGGAGGTTGCTGTGAGCTGTGATGCTTTGTATCGTTCCAGTTTTGGTATATATGCTGTTGAAGTGAGTACGTACGAGGTATGATATTTTATTTATACTCATGGTCCCTTTGAAGATTCATGTTATTTGGTTAGATACTTGAAAAATTTGCTTGTTTGGCACATCTCAAAAAATGAAAACAGGAGAGTAGTCAACAAAATATTTGTAAAGAACAACTTGAGTAGAGACACAAAAGTGATTTTGACTTGGGTAGAGGTGACAGAGCTAAAATGCACAGCAGCAGGTAAATTCAAATGGGAAGAGCTATGGCAGAGTGAGGGAGGGTGAGTGCAGAAGAGTTAAGTTCCAGAGAGACAGTGAACTAGTTTTGGGGGTGTTTAAAGGGAACTGCTCCTAACATAGTTTTCTAGCCTTCTTACTCTTCAGCTTAGTTGTCCTTCACTTTAAATAAAAACCCTTTCACATTTGTCACAAATGTACTGATTTAGTCCGACTTTTAACAATTACGGATTATAAGCTTGGAAATGTTCAGCTATTGAGTATTATTATCTAGATAGGATTTAAATTTGGATAGGAATGACTTTGGGTTCAGTTGGTATAAAGGTTTTGGTTCCCAAGGAGAAATTCTCCCTTCTCTCCAGGTAACATAATGGTTCCACTGGATTGGAAGTTAGCCATTCTGGATTTGTCAGTGCATTGAGCCAGTAGGCAAAGAGGAGGGTTACTCTATTGGCTGAGATGATTGGCTGTGATTACCAAGGAGAAATACTGCTACCACATAATGGGAGGACCATGTCTGGAGGGTTCTCTGAGATCTTAGTATGTCCATGTTCCTAGATAAAGTTTAATAGAAAACTACAGAAACAGAAAACTTCAGACCACTAAAAATTCAGATTCTTCAGGAATGATTTGAGGTCACTTTGATGAAAAAACAAGACCAAAACCAAAAAATAGCTGAGGTGCTGGCTTGAATAGGCAGAAGAAATATTAACTATGGCCTTATGGCCAGTTATGGAAATGAGGATTCTGGCAGCGTAGCATATTTTATTCATGTTATGGAATATTTGCATGGGACTGTATTTGAATTAGGGGAGTAATTAACACTGCACAACAAAAGATACAATGACTGTTGGCACTTTCTATCTCCCCTTTTGGTGAAGAGGGTGAAAGTGTCTTCCTTTGTAGTATTAAGGACACTTGCACCATGCTGTTATATGGTGGTTAAAATGTGTGTGGGAGGTTATATATGGATGCTGAGCATCTTAAGGGAGCATGGTTATGAAGCTCTTGGGTCTCAGTGCTAAATATTGCTCTGTGGTGCTGTGGCTGGGACTTTTTCTCTCATTTGTTGGCTGGTTTGTTAGGTTCTGCCAGTAGGGGGCATTATCAGGAGATTGGAAAGCGAGAGTTGGGGACAAGTCTTCTTCCTAGTGGCTTGCTTCTTTTAGCAGCCAGACAACAGTTAGTTCCAGTCTCCATTTGGGGGAAGAGGAAGCACTCTCAGAAACAGCCCTCATCCTGCTCCCTTAGAGGTTCCAGCAGCAGCCAGAAAGAACAGTTCTACTTTTCCTGCTGCCCCTTTGCTCCTTGTAACTCATATAAATCACCTCTTGGGGGTGGAGTTGCCTAACTTCAGAGGTAGCAGTATCTCCTAGTTGTAGTTATCAAAATCTTTGTCTTCTAGAAGGAGGAAGAATTAAAAAAAAAAAAGGCCAAGTCTTATTTTTACCAGGGCAAGGTTTTCAAAAGGACTGAATAGAAGCATTGTTTGATTTTTAAAAATAATTGTGGTTATATTGTTTTTATTTCATTTATTTATTTTTTGAGACAGAGTCTCAGTATCGCCCTAGGTAGAGTGCTGTGGCATCACAGCTCATAGCAACCTCTAACTCTTGGGCTTAACCGATTTCTCTTGCTTCAGCCTCCCAAGTAGCTGGGACTATAGGCACCCACCACAATGCCCAGCTATTTTTTTGTTGCAATTATTATTGTTGTTTAGCAGACCCGGGTCAGGTTCAGACCCGCCTGCCTTGGTGTATGTGGCTGATGCCCTAATCACAGAGCTACGGGTGCTGAGCCGTGTTTTTTTAATGAGATGTATATTCCAGTTATCTTCTACTACGCAAGGAAACTGTCCCACAGCTTCATAGGTTAAATCGACAACCAAGCCTGTCCTGAATTCACAACTCAGAAAGTTGTGAGCAAAAGAAAACAATTATTTTAACCTGGCAGGTGCAGGCCGGGTTTGAACCTGCCAGCCCTGGTGTATATGCAGGTGCCTTAACCACTGAATTATGGTTACTGAGCCAGGATAGTTGACTTTTATTGTATGGTTTTCCTGAATATTTTTGTGTCATAATAATGATTTCAGCTGGTCTAGAAATACATAGCCAGGTTTCCTAAATTGTTAATACTACCTGCCAAAATAGAAACAAAACTGGGAGGGATTTTAAGAGGCTTTATCTGTGTACCATACGTCAAGATGTGGATGTTGAGGTTTAGCTTCAAGACTCTTCATCACCTCCACTGGAGAACTTCAAGGAAAAAAGCTGTCATTTCCATGTGCTAGGCATGATAGTGTTATTTTTTTGGTCATTACTTAAATTTAAAACTTACCCTTCTTTCTGATAGTAAAAATTGCATTATTCATTAGAGAAAATTTAGATAGGGACCCATCTGCCTGGTAAAATTTAAAAAGAGCAATGCTAGTGGTGTCTGTAGCTTAATGGGAAGGGTGTTGACCATATACACTGAGGCTGGCAGGTGTGGACCCAGCATGGGCCAGCTAAAATCAACAATGACAATTGCAACATAAAATAGCCAGGCGCTGTGGCAGGCACCTGCAGTCCCAGCTCCTTTGGGAGGCTGAGGCAAGAAAATAGCTTAAGCCCAAGAGTTGGAGGTTGCTAATAGCTGTGATACCATGGCACTCTACTGAGGGTGACATAATTAGACTATGTCTCAAAAAAAGAAAGTGCCATAGATTGGGTGACTCTTAAAAAGAGCAATGCTGGCAAGGTGCAGTGGCTCATGCCTTGAATCCTAGCACTCTGGGAAGCCAAGGTAAATGGATTGCTTGAGTTCAGGAGTTTAAGACGCGCCTGAGCAAAAGCAAGACCCCTTCTCTACTAAAATAATAGAATGACTGAGGAGGCAAGATGGTCACTCAAACTCAAGAGTTTGAGGTTGCTGTGAACTATGATGATGCCAGGGCACTCTACCCAGGGTGACAGAGTGAGACTTTGTCTCAGGAAAAAAAAAACAATGCTGCCATTTCTTACAGGGACATAGGCAAAAAGTACTCATTATGGTTGGTGGGAATGTGAATTACTAGTCTTTTTGGACTAATGCTGATATCTAAAGTACCCTTGACCCTCTGTACTAGTGTACTAGCTGGGATTTGGTCAGGGTGTGAGGACCACAACAACTCAATAGCTTAAACAATAAAATTTATAGTCTTTCTCTTGTGTTCTTGAAGTTCAGGTCTGATGCTACAGAGCTAAGTCCCCAAGCACCTCTTGCTGCTGTTCTATCCATGGTTCCCATTCCCAAGACCACTACTTGGCTCTAGGTGGCTGCTAAAGCTTCATTAGTGTAAGTCTACATTACAACCCCAGGAAGTGGAGAGGTGAGGAGGAGGACATAGCTCTTCTTTTCAAAAACTATTCTGAGTTGTAGCTGAGTGTATCACAGTTCAGTTCTGGCACTGATCACTTGGAGTTAGTACAGGCTTCACAAGTGAAAGGGTACAGTCCTCATCAAGAGGGATCTTTAAATTAATTTAAATTATAGCTGCATGGGGCATGTTGGTTCATACTTGTAGTCCTAGGTACTTAGGAACTTGAAGTGGGAGAGTTGTTTGAACTCAGGAATTTGAGACCAGCCTGGGCTACATAGTGAGACCCTGTTTCAAAATGAATGAATGAATACATGCACTTCTCACCAACTGGCTATGGACTTGGAGATTCCCATGATCCCCCCTCAGGTTCAGTAATTTACTTGAATGATTCACAGAACTCAGGACCCCCCCCATAAAATTTATATGTGTACATATATATATATATATTTTTTTTTTTTGAGACAGAGCCTCAAGCTGTCCCCCTGGGTAGAGTGTTGTGGCATTGCAGCTCACAGCAGCCTCCAATGCCTGGACTCAAGCGAGTCTCCTACCTCTGGGAGGAGCTGGGACCACAGGTGCCCGCCACAACACCTGGCCATTTTTTGATTGCAGCCATCATTGTTGCTTGGCGGGCCGGTCTGGATTCGAACCTGCCACCTTAGGTGTATGTGGCTGGTGCATCAGCCACTTGAGCCACAGGTGCCGAGCCTATATGTATTTTTTTAAATATATATATATATGCGTGCAAAAAATTTCTGGCTCAGTGCCCATAGCTCAGTGGTTTGGGTGCTGGCCACATACACCGGGGCTGGCAGGTTCAAACCTGGCCCAGAGGTGCTAAACAACAACAACAAAAAAATAGCTCGGTGTTGTGGTGGGTGCC